TGCAGCGGCATCCATGCGAGACTTTTACGTCCCAGCAGCTTCACGAGTGGTACGCTCAGAGTAGAGGGTCTTTGAGTACAGTTCGCTGCCCGTACGTCATTTGCACAGGTGATCGGGCTGGTCAGGCTTGCGGGACGCTTGGTCACACACAGTCCCACTGCTTCGCCCGTCTGAGCGACGCCTGGCGTACCGAGTTTGGCGACGAGGCTGAGCTCCCCACCTGGCTGGAGCTGCTTGGACAGAGGGTAGATATCTTTGCTCTTGACTATGATGTTATTCTCACTGCCATGTATGCATTGCCTACTAGTGCTGACCGTGCCTGTTACCTGTGCGTACCGCCTGACCCAGGTATAGAGCCTGCTGCTCTCGGTGCTGGTGAGGCTGCTGCTCTAGGTGCTCGTGCGTCTCCTGCTCTAGGTGCTGGTGAGGCTACTGCTCTAGGTGCTAGTGCGTCTCCTGCTCTAGGTGCTAGTGAGGCTGCTGCTCCAGGTACCGGTCTGTGAGTCTGCTCTCTCTGGTACTGCGCCTGCTGCGGTCTTGCACACCTTCACCCTTGACTCAGGAGCTTCCCGCTCCTTCTTTCGCGATTGCACCACACTCACGCCGCTTAGTCGGCCAGTTGCAGTCTCCCTGGCGGACCCCTCTGGGGGTCCAGTCCTTGCCCACTACTCCACGGTTCTGCCGTGTCCGGCCACCTCGTCTGGCTTGCTGTCAGGTCTTTACCTCCCCTCGTTCTCTACGAACTTGGTGAGTGGAGCTGACCTCCAGGATGGGGGGGTTGACCAGTTCACTCCTGCGAGTACTTCAAGTGACTCACTGTACGTGTGCTCGGACGGGCTGACACCTAGCCACGTTTACCCATGCGCCTGGCTCGAGTCTGTACACACTGACCACTGAGTCCCCTCAGGTAGCCGCGTCTGCGTCTGCGTCAGGTCAGCTAGCGGCCCCCTGCTCGTGTCGCGCTTTGTCGCACCAGACCCTCCTTTGGCACCACCGCCTTGGTCACCCCTCGGTGCAGCGCCTTCGTAGCATGCACCGCCGTGTCCTTGTCTCTGGTCTTCCCAGGGTTCTACCTCCCCTCCCACCCTCGCCTGCTCCTCCTTGTCTTCCCTGTGTCGAGGGGCGGCAGCGCGCCGCTCCTCACTCCTCCTCGTTCCCTCCCACAGAGGCTCCCCTGCAGACTCTCCACCTGGACGTGTGGGGCCCAGCCCTCGTCCGTGGACAAGGCCACGAGCGGTACTTCCTGCTGGTCGTCGACGACTACACGCGTTACACCATGGTCTTCCCCTTGCACAGCAAGGGGGAGGTCCCTGATGTTTTGATCCCTTGGATCCGCGCTGCCCGTCTCCAGCTCCGCAAGCGGTTCGGGAAGGAGTTTCCCGTCCAACGACTGCACTCTGACAGAGGTGGTGAGTTCTCCTCCGACCTCTTGGCAGCCTTCTGTGCGGAGCACGGCATCACCCAGTCGTTCACGCTTCCGGCCTCTCCTCAGCAGAATGGGGTTGCTGAGCGCCGCATTCGCTTAGTACCTCCATGATCCATGCGGCTGCCCCCCATTTTCTGTGGTCGTTTGCGGTCCGGTACGCCGCGCATCAGCTCAACCTCTGGCCCCGTGTCTCCTTGCCGGAGACCTCGCCCACACTGCTGTGGTGGTCGCGACATGGTCCAAGGGGGAGAGGGCGGATTGGAGCTGGAGGTGGCTAATGAGTTGGACGAGGTGGTCGATAGTGCTGGTAACCCGTTTGCGCTCTTCGTTCGAGAACCGGTTGAGGCTAAGGGTAAGGCCTAGTTTCCAAGAGTCCCATGCTTCGGGGGAAGGGCGTGATGGCAGGGAGGGGAGGTGAGATTCGATTATGGTAGCGACTTGGGGTCGGTGAAGAAGCGAAGAACTGAAGCGCCAAGGTCGCGGTGCCATTGTTGGGTTGTCGAATGTGAGGGTGCAGAGGGGTACAAAGGAGTGGTCAGAAACTTCGGTTGGGGTCCATAGGTATGAGGCTTCAGAGGTTCGTGGGAGGAATGAATTGGAGAGGTAGATTCGATCCAGTCTGGAGGCAGGCGGGAGAGCTGGATCAGCACTGGCACGGCGGCCAAAGTAGGAGAAGACGGGGGCGGCAGGGTGGAGTGAGCGGTATATGTCGAGCAGTGCGTGCGATACCAAGAGATTAGACACCATGGTACCCTCGCTAAGTTCGTGACTAAGTAGAGGGCGGTTACGGTCTAAGGGGGAGACCAGCGAGTTGAAGTCACCGACGAGGATCGTGGCAGCAGCTGCAGTGGGTTGCTCCAGTGCGGGAGTCAGGATGGATCTCCACCAGATCCGGCGGTCAGTAGCGGGTCTCGGCGCATAGATGACAAGGAGGCGAAGTTGCTCCCGCAGGAAGTTGATATGTACGGAAAGGAGGCAGCCATCGGCAGAGGGGGATGGGGAGGTGAGAGTTACTGCTCTGTTGAAAGATAAGATGGTGATGCCACCGGGTTGCGGACATGGATGACCGTTTGAGTTTATTGCGTAGAGGGTGGGTGCGTGTGCCGAAGAGTGTGGGCGGAGTTGGAGTGACAGTTTAGGTAAGTTTTTTTAGAGGCGTGTGTCCACTAAAATGAGAATGTCTGTGTGTGGTGGGGAGGTGGAGAGCCAGCGCTTTAAAACATTTCGTTTAGCCAGCGTATTGATACCATTGATGTTGAGGCAGCGAACTCGTAGGGGCGTTAACATTGAACCAAGTGGGAGCCCACCGCGCAGGAGGGTGCGCGGATCCACGGACATCGGTATTATTCAAGAGGGGAGGAGGTTGGTGGTGGCTGTGGGTACCAGTAGAGCTGTCAGCGAGTACAAGCTGAGGTTTGTGGTGGCTATGCTTGCGTGATGGTTTTATTCGGACAACACCGAGGTCACACCGGGAGGATAGCAGAAGGTGGGTGGCAGCAATAGTGTGTAGAGGTGCAGCACACAGGTAAAACTTGGGCAGTTGTGCGTTGTACTGGGGAGATGGTCGGTATTTAGCGAAGGTGATCGGTAGTGGATTGTTAATGAGGGGTTTGAAAGTGGCGTAATTGGTAGTTTGCGCAGATGGGAGATTTGAAGTGAAGATTGACAGAGGAATCGGTATTACGTTCAACCTAACAAACACGATCGGACG